ACCAACTGAAGCTCTTCTCTGTCCTGAAATGGGCTTCTTTAACTTTTGTATTTTTGTTGGGATTATGTGCTACCATAGGAAAATGCAGTAGAACATAAACTTTTTTCAAGGTTTTTTTTTGGCAGTGCTGGGATTTTAATTCAGGAATTTGTACTTGCGAGGCAGGCACCCTACCCTTTTAGCCATTCATCCAGCCCTTTTTGTTATGGTTCTTTTGGAGACAGGGTCTTGCTTTTTTTATCTGGGCTGCCCTGAACTATGGTATTCCTCCTATTTATGCTTCGTGGGTAGCTGGGATGACAGGCATGCACCACCATGCCCAGCTGTTTATTCAGATAAGGTCTCAGAAACATGTTTTCCCTGACTGGCCTGGAACAGCTACCCTCCTGATTTCAGCCTCCCAAGAAGCTAGGATTACAGGTTTGAGCCACTGTGCCTAGCTTCAAAAGTAATTTTACTTACTGCAACAACTTTTCCAGAAAAGATACCCATGCTGAACATAGGCACACACATGTGCACTCTCATAGGCACAAACCCCCACAGTCGCCTAACTGTGTTATAACTGTCTCTTGTACAGACACCTGCGTTTCACCATGGTATAGAGCTGTCCTTTAAAAAATTAACATCATTCTTTACTTTTCACATGTGTAGAGAGTTTTCATATTTATTTCAGTGGAAACATAGTAATTCATTGTTTTCATAGTTGTTTCAATTGGGAATTTAGGTTATTTTATTTGTGATTATTTTAATGTTATAATTATCTGCATCTTTGTGCATAGTACATTTTCTTTTTAATGATTATCCTTGAATTATGTTTTAGAAGATTACTAGTCAATGGATATAAGGACATTTATGATTTACTGCATATAATCCTTTTATAAGACTGAATTATTTTATAGCATCAACAATTCTAGATTCCAAGTGAAATGTTTTTAATAAAAAATAATAGTTATCTAAAGAAATTCAGGAAATTATTTAAAGACTTAATAATATCATGCTTCCACTTCCCCATACCCACTCTTTCTTCTAAGAGGATGTGAGGCACACCCATACTCCTTCAAAGTATCAGAGTTCAGTTGTGGCTAGCTTGGTGGTGGAGCAGTCCCCCAACATGCCCAGGCTGCCATCTTGTAGGAATGTTCCAGCATTACCTTTAATTAATTTTCATAATATCTTTTGTACCATTTGTAGAAAGTGCAGTGTGCCCCACACTTGGTATTTCTTCTGTAAGTAAAATAAGTACAGCCTTTTCTAACTACTGGTCCAAACTAGTCATTGTAAAGTGGCAAAGTTAAGACTTTCACTTTAAAAATAGTAACACACACAGCTTTTACTGCTTCCTATAAAACATGATAATGGTTGTGGGTAATGAGACTATTAAAAAAAGCTACAAGAAAAATTAAAAGTTACTTCAAAGTTTATGTATCAGAGTAATGACTGTGAACATTTTGGTACTATGATTTTAGATTTCCCCTGTGTGCATTTAAAAAGTTCATTGCAGTCATACTATACTAACTGTGCCTGGCTCTGCTTTTATTTATTTAATAAAAGATAATGAATGGCTGCTGATTACCAATAAAATATATCTACATCATTTTGAATTGATGCAGAATAATCTACTATATGGATACAACATACATTTTGAAGCCAGTTCCCCATTCTTCTTTCTCTTTAATTTCTTATTAGCATAACTTAATTATACAAAGGAGTTTCATTGTGAAGTTTACATACATGCATAAAATGTACTTCAATCAGCTTCACCCCATCTATATTACTGTTTCTTAACCCCTCTCCTCCTCCCACCTCATTTGTAACAGTTTTTAGTGGGTTCATCATGCTATTTTCATGCATATGTATATAATGTAACTTCAGTCATATGTACCCCATCAAATTCTCCTCCCCCCCCACCCACTGCACCCACTGTTTCCCCACCAAACAGTACCCCTTTTATAATCATGTCATAGTGTTACTTTTTTTTAGGTCTGGATTCCACAAATGAGAGAAAATTTGTGATATTTGTCTTTTTGAGCTTGGCTTATTTCACTTAACATGATGATCTCCAGTTCCATCCATTTTCCTGCAAATGACATCACTTCATACTTCTTCGTGGATGAATAACACTCTTTATCCAGTTATAGGTTGTTGAACACCTACACTGATTCTATAGCATGGCTATTATAAATACTGCTTCTATAAACATGGTTGTACAAGTCTATTATATGCCGACTTACATTTCTTCAGATATATGCCCAAGAACGGTACAGCAGGATCATATGGTAGGTCTGTTTTAGTTTCTTGACGACATACTGATTTTCATAGTGGTTGCACTAAGTTTACATTCCCACCAACAGAGTATGAGCCCTTTTCTCCCTCCATTCTCACCAATACATGTTTTTTGTGTTCTTGATGACTGCCATTCTCACTGGGGTGAGATGGGCTCTCAGTATCTTTTTGATTCACATTTCCTTTATGGGTAAGGATGTTGAATATTTCTTCATGTGTTTATTAGCCATTTGTGCTTCTTCTTTTGGGAACTGCCCAGTTCATTTGCCAATTTATTAATTGGATAATCTGTTATTTTGATGTTTAATTTTTTGAGCTCTTCATATGCTATGGATGTTAGTCCTCCACTTTGTCAAAAGTATTTATCAGATCTCAGGGTTTTTTGTCAGTGCTTAGAGTATTTTAAGTGTAGGATTATATCACCTGCAAATAAGGATAAGGTGATTTCTTCCTTTCCTATTCGTATCTATTTTATTTCTTTCTCTTGCCTTATTGCTCTGGCTATGGTTAGGAATTCCAGTATGATTTTGAAAAAGGGTGGAGAGAGTGGACACCCTTGTCTTGCTCCTGACTTTGGAGGAAATTATTTCAGTATTTTAAAATAATAACAACTATAAAACCTCTTGCTACTATTAGGTGAAAGTAAAAAGAGAAGTCCAGTATTTTGGGATGTTAAAATTCTGATTGTTAATTTTTCTAGTGTTCTCTTTTTCTGAATTTTCAAATTTTGCATAGAGAACAGTTTTTATCATACAAAATGGTATACGCTTTAATTTTTTAAATACTTTCTTGACAACTAACATCAACCAAGCTTCTGGTCAAGAGCTAGGAATAAAAGTTTTTTGCTTTGTGCCTCTTCTTATAGATGCTCTGCCTTGTATCCCTTCCCTTCAAGATTTCATACTCAACCCACTTATCTGTAGGTACCCTTTGTATGCTTTAAGAGGGAAACCTGTCTTACCTCTTCAGGAGAGACCTACCTGAACAGACAAATAGGTGAAGCTCACTTGGCCTCACAATATCTGGGGGGGGTGGGCTGGCCAGGTTCAGGCCTGTCTGTCTGAAGATGTAGTTATTGCAACACAGAGAGGTTATAACTTCCCTTTGCTAGCGATCCACTTTCTGGTCCTGCCAATGTTTTGTCTCCCTCTTAATCTTTCTCTTCATTTATTATGTAAACAAAGGCAGGACTATTTAGACTAGGCATGATGATGGATGTCAGCTCAGAGGACTTCTTTAACACAACCAGCTTGAAAATTCCTTTCTGCCATTCATTGGTCTGGCATTTATTGCTACTGCAGTCAGAACTTCTCCCTTGTCTTCTCCCATTGCTAATGTCAGCTCTGTTCTTTAGGACCTGCTTAAAGCCTCCTTACTTCTGCTAGTCTGATTTGTGGGCTACAGCAGTCAATAATCTTTAAGTCATGATCACAGGTCACCAGCAACTGAAGAGGACTATGGGATAGGGAGGGGGAGGCCGCAATCATCCTACCTGGAAGTCTGTTTCAGTGCTTCCCCCCGCTCCACCCCCACATACATAGTTGGGGGGCCTCTGTGACTGATTGAGAGTCAATCATAAACCCTCCAACCTCACTCCTAGTAGAGGTAAAACAAATAGGATTAGGATTTAACAGGTCTCCTTCTTTTTTAAAAATGCCTAGAGGGCACCAGCAAAAGTCTCACACTTCCCAGTTTTTGGACCTGACTTTTTCCAGCTTTCCTGGTACTACCATTGCCAAACCTCAAGCAATATTCAGCTCCTGAATTAAAAAGTGACATTTCCCACCCCATACTCCACTCATCACAACTATAAAAGACATATTTTTCATTTCAAAGCACATATCTTATAGATATGTACACTTTGGATAAGTGGGTTTTTTCAAATATTACGAACACATTTCAAAATTGTGCAGAATTGACATGGCTATGATGACTGCTGTCAGTGTTACCTCATAAAACACTTCAGCAAAGATGGTGGCTATCTGGTGACCAAACAACTTAGGAAATATCCTTGTCCTGTTGTGGTAATAAAAAGAAGATTTTATGAAATAGGTTTTAGGTCTTGGCAAATATTGATCACCAAAACCTGCCGGGCACTTGTGGCTCACACCTATAATCCTCAGGAGGCAGAGATCAGGAGGATCATGGTTAAAAGCCAGGCAAATAGTTCTGTGAGACCCTAGCTCGAAAAAACTCTTCACAAAAAAGAGGCTGGTGGAGTGGCTCAAGGTGTAGGCACTGAGTGCAAGCCCCAGTACTGCAAAATATATATAAATAAATGCAAGTACAGAACACCATCCCCCCACCCCTGACCTCAGTGCTACTGTGGCCACTGTCCCTGTCTCAGACTTGGATTTTCCTGTTCCACAACATAAAGATCCATCATGGCTCCATTCAGAATATTTGCTGGAAACCCCAACATCTAACATCAGAAGCTGCATTAGCATGGATTTACACCAGTTTCTAAAATTTTGACATTTATCTAATATGTCCCTCTCTGTAGCCAATATGTGTACGTACATAATCATGGAATTAGAAATTAGTCATCGCCTAAGTTGGGCAACAGAAATGACCTACGCAAGAAAGAATTTCTCATCATCAGTTACAAAGTATTTATGTCTTTGTCATAATATAATTGTAGCATTATTTTAAATAACCCAAACTCACTTCAAAGCAGATTTCAAACAAATGACTTGGAACCGATTTTTCTATCACAGAATTACACTGTTCCTTCTGGAGATTTGTTGATGTTGTCTCCATTTTGGCTTCATAGAAATCCAAAGTATTTTCCTGAACCTGAATTATTCAGCCTGTAAGTTATCTCTTTCAACTTACATTATTCTTTGATTTTTAGTTCCTTTTTGCCAAGAGTATTAATTCATAAATCAACTAAGACTGTATCACTAAGCAGCCATGTTCGTCTCATAAGTATCAGCAAAATTGGCTACAAGGTACAGGTTAGATTTGCAGCAGAGACAGTACAGCACTTATAGATCAAATAGAAAAGTTTTAGAATTAGCATTTTCTACTTTAAAATAAGTTTTTTTTTCTGAAACAAAGAAGCCATGTTCTTATAGAAGGCTTATTTTGTACTCCTCAGACAAGTGCTTTTATTACTGGTTTCCAAGGAATTCAAAATATAAAAATAAATTAAAACAGTGATCTGCTATTTCTTATAATTGGGAAGCTGGCCTTTATCATTGGGTTGAACAGATCTTTAAAGTTCATTCAATTCATTATGTGCCTTTAGGTACAAAGCTGGCATCCAGATGTATTCATTCTGTATCTCAAGCTTTCTCTCACAGTCTGGGTTGTCAGTATATTACTACTAAATTTATTACTAGGAACAATTTTATGATGGAGCCCAAGACCTTATTGTAAATATTCTTCCTCTTCTTAGGTCAATTCTGTGGTTGATTTACCTTATCATTTACACTTGCCACTTAACATAATTCTTTTTAAGCCTTTTTATTTATAAGTTCATGTTCCAAAAACACAATTGTGTCTAATATTAATAACAGGTTGGAAAAAATTACCAACAACCCTGCAACTTTATATTCAAGGATTAGCTGTACAAGGTCATTTTTAGCCTAGAGAAATAAAGTTAAGCTTATTTATATAAGGCTGATTTAGAAAAAAAAATGTTTTCTTCCCACAGGAACGTTGGAAAAAGGCAAATTTAGAGAAGCATGCTTTCTTGGACTGCTTCATGGCATTTGGAAGCGGGAAATTCCAATGTCCTGGAAGGTCAGTAAGACAGCTGGGCCACATTTATTCAGAAAGTCTGCAAAAAGATGATGGTTCGGGGGAAAGCTCTGACTTAACTTCTCTATCCTTTACTATCAAGCTACAAGGAAATCTGAGAGAGCATATTTTGTTTGGTTGATCAGTGGTGTTGTGGGATGTCCTTGTGGGAATGTGTTTCTGATAGGAGACCTCATGAGAAGAAATATTACACTTGTAGATGCCAGGGAAAAGCAAGACTTGGATTCCATGGCAGGGTAGTTTGAAGTGGTTTGAGTGCTATCTTTAAAAAACAATGATAGATTAATATTTCTTCAACTACAATGTTATCATAGTTTGCTGGTTGGAGCACAGCAGCAGTTTACTAGGTTGTTCTTTATAGAGTTGCTTTGATTTTGTACAGTCTTCCCCTTGATATCTTTTAAAGTTAAATTAATCTGACACCCAGGACTTCTCTTCAGTGTGATGCCCTATGTGCATCAGTCAATGAAAGTTTTGTTTATGTTATTTATTCCAAACAGAAAAAAATTTGAACCTCTTCCCTGTGCCAGACTCTCTGCTAAGCCTCAGAGATAGTACTTTGCAGAAGATGGATATGGTCCCTGACTTTATGGAATTTAAATCTATGTTAAATGAGTCCCACTTCTTCATTGGGGAAGATCCATTGGAAAAATAGTGGTGCCTATTTGTAACACAGTCTCAATCAGCAAATGTACAAATCTTTTAACAAATCTTCTAACAAATTGTAATTTTTAAATTTAAAGTAAATTATCTTCATTGTTTGAATAGTAATCCCAGTTCATATTTACAATTATTATTTTAATAGAATCCATTCTATTCCTGCTTTATGTGTGTTAGATTATCAACATGCTTTTAGTAATTTACATCTCTTCCAAAATGGTTTTAATCAGCCTTAGCCAACCATGAAAATTCTAAGCTTCTTTTTAGAAATTATTACAGAAACCTGGGCCTAAGCAAATTGACACATGGTGTTTACCTGCAGACAACTATTTGTTCTGGGCTCTATAGTTAACCTAACCTGGCCAATCAGGCTTTTGAAAGGAGAGAGTTTTCTTCTCTTATTCCCCCTCTTTCTCCACCACTGGATGTCAACAAGAAAGCAAGGTCGCTCCAGTTGTTACTTGCACAAAGTTCAAGGAGAACAAGTCATATGATGAAGGCTATGGTGAGAACAGAAACATACAACACAGCCTGGGTATATATGATATCATTGTGTCACTGAATTCATTCATTTTTGAACAACTCATTAATTTCTGTTCTAATAGATAATAAATGTTCATATTTTAAGGCAGTTTTAGTTGAAGGTGCCATGTTCAGAGCTGTAAACATGCCAATATATCCATCAAAACCTCCAAGCCTTAAACATTATAACTGAGTATCATATACTTTAGGGGCATACTTTAACAAACAGCAACTACAATGACAACAAAATCCATCATGCCTCTACTTTATTTATCTTAAAGAAGCAGTTCCTAAGCCCAAAATAAATTCATTGTTTTCACCACATAAGTATCAATGTCTTTAGAGTAGCTCTTCTATAAACAGTAAATGTCACTTTTTTCAGTCCCTTTACATAAATGTCTAATAACAACTAAAAAGTTTATTATAATTATCTCCCTCCTTAAACTGAAATTGCTTATGAAAGGGATGAAATATTTTTGCAACGAAGTATATGGTGAGGGCCAATCGTAGAGCATTGCCTGATGACTGACTATTGTTTCTAAGAGGAGCTGTTACTACTTTCTATAATAGCTTTTGGGACTGAAATATATTTTCTTGAGTTTGAAAGTAATGGATACAATAAGGGGCACCTTGGCATTATGGAGTGGTAGAAATTGGGATCCATTGAAGATTAGAGGTAGACTGTGGCTTTCAATCCAAATGGCTGAAAGACATGGTAGAAATAGATGAATAGGGAGCAAGATATCAAGTTTTCCTTTAGAAACTGAGTCTGTGGCATGGCAAAAATATATATCATGTAACCAAAATCTATAGGATAAATGCAAATATTGAATATATCTGATCTATTTTTTAAAGCCTCGTTAAGTCTAGTTTTCTGTTTAATTTCTGTCCTTAAGTTTTCTGTCACCAATGTTAAATAGCCAACTCATGAAACATTTTCTTTTCAAAGAGAGATAAAATTTTAAAAAAATGTTCAGAAAAGCAAATGACTTCATTTAGGCAATGTATACTAAGATAGATAATTCCACTAGAAACTTAATCCCATAAATTATAGTAGAAACACCAGAAAATTACACCCATTCCTAATTGGTGTAGCAGGAGTCAACTTATTTTCTCATGTACCAAAAACTCAGTGAGTTAGAGTAAGTTGCCTATAATAGGGTTGTAGCTGACAAAGTTCACTATGAACACATACTTGTATGGCCTTGCAGCTGTCTCTTCTTGGAGTTTAGGTCACTGAGGTGGAATGAGACACCCTCTCACAAGTAAACACAGAAGGCTCTGTTGATTGAGCTAAATAAGTATTTGGTGCTGCCATTGGCAGCCAACTGAAATCAGAATGGGAAAACTGTAGTTCCTCTTGGTAATAGTGGAAGGTCTAAAAGAGGTTTCCACAAGGAGCCCCTTACTAGGCTCTGCCTTGTAGCATAGGAAGGGAAGTGTTTCTAGCAATTCTATTGCTGGAGAAGTCTGGGGCTTTACAGAAAAAAACAGCCAGGAGAAAGCAGCATGAACTATCAGACTTCTTCAGAAATAGTAGGATGCAAGAAGAATGGACCAATGTCATTTTAAACTATAAGATTTAAATGGAGGAATAAAATGAGGAATTTTCAGTTAAGGAAAACCTCTTGAGTGGGCATCTTTGAGAGTTGATGATTTTCACTCAAAGGGATGTATTACTTTAGTTCCTCTTTTTGGGATATACACCAAAGCCCGCAAATTGGATTTACCTTTGTTCTTACCCCTGCAAGAGGATGCCTGCTTGGCTATACCATTGTGTGAGTTGATATGAATTAAATTCCAGTATAAAATATAAGCCTTATCTTTGGAAAAATTAACCAGTTTGCAAAGAAAGAAATGCTTGGATAAGAAGAAGGTGTAATGAGTAAGCTTCAATATTGGAGAAGTGGAAACAAAGCATGGTTCATTTCCCTTGGAAATAGAAACTGATTTTACTCTCTCTCTCTCTCACTCTCTCTCTCTCTCTCTCTCTCTCTCTCTCTTGTGTGTGTGTGTGTGTGTGTGTGTGTATAGATGATCTTTCATATAACCTAGGGAAATGCTTAGCTACAAAGCCATATACTTGTCTTGAATTACTAGCAAAAATCACACTGCTATGAAAATGAATTAAAACCTTGAATATAGCTAATATTAGATTAGTAGTACTTTTGTTCTAACAAATATCTCTTGAGCAACTAGAATTAATATGAGTACTCTTTCAGTAACTATTTGTTAAGTATATGTTATGTGTCAGGGTAGGGTTCTAGGAGTTATCTTGAAAACAAATTGATAAAGAACCTTCCCTCAAGGAGCTTATGTTCTAACTCAAGTCATTTTCTTAAAGCTTAGGAGATTCAAAGATACAAAACATTTCTGAATGGCTTAGGTTGTGACTTGGTATATAACATATAGCAACATGAAAGCAAGCCCTACTTTAATGTAAGATGGTACAAAGAAGAGCCACGTGACTCTGATATAAAATAACTGGCATAGCAGTTTGGAGGAAGAGGATTAGAAAAGGTTTTGGACTAAATGGGAATAATCAATAAGTAACTTATAAGAGAGCAAATCTTCCTCAAGTGCAGTAAATCAAACTTGGAAGGAAGGAAAAAAAGTTAAGTACCCATAGGAATACAATGTAACCTGCATGTTGATATCAAGGCAATGAAATGTTTGGGCTTTGTGAAGCTTTGAACACATTTGTTTCTATAGATTTATTTTAAAAATAATTTAATTTTAATCTTTGTATCTTATACAGTAAGCTATCTTTACACAATCATGTATTTGAGAAGTTTCATGAATGGTTTTCTCCCTTTTATCTTAAAACTAGCTGATTGTTTTGGAGGGAGTGAGCAAATTCAAATCCCCGTGGTTTTAATGACAAGTTGAAAATCCAATTTATTCTGAGGGATGTGTTATATAAAAATTTCATTCCATCAACTCATTTGTTAAATATAATTAAATGAGCATGCTTACTTGTATACTCGTTTTCTGACATTTTCACTGAGTGTATACATGTCCTTTAGGCTCTATAAAAACAAGGTGAGGAATGAGAGTAGATGAAGGGTAAATCTAAATCTGATTAATTCCATGACACTTAGCCAGGCTGCCAGAATCCCTTGTTAATTTTAAGCCATGTGTCTGTCTTCATACTGCTTTGCTAAGGAACAGTGAGTCACTCAAAGGAACATAGAAACCACTGGCAAATTTACAGTCATTATTTTCCTGACCATTTTATTTTAATGTTTCTTTATGAGGCTAAGATTTAAGTCTGTCAAGCACAGAAGAAGAAATTCAAGAGTGATTTTTAATGTTCAGATGGAAGTGTCTCTAAAACAAAACATGCTCTTTTCTGAACAGAATTTTAGAAAGGAGCCCTTTCTCCTCTTATTTATAAATATATCTCCAGCCCTTATGTTGTGCACAGAATACCTGGACAGGATACTTATCTATGGAAAGAAGAAAAGACACTTCAGGTCAGATATCTTCTACCCACATGTACTTTCTTACTTCATCAAACTGAGTGACCGCTGTTCAGACTGAAATTAAAAGTGTCCTGTATTGCAATAGCATCCCTAGATTATTATTTCCCCATCTTCTAATGCTTTCTCTTCCCTTTTCTAGTAGTCATGGTTTTCATTTGGAGATCCATGGGATTCTGGGGATGCTTATTGAGGTGGACCACTGCTCCCTAAGTGAATTAGTATGTTCCAATGGTTGGTTGAGGTGTTGGAAGATTTTTAAAACAGGACAATTAACTACCAGAGCTTCTATTTTATTGAGATGTCTGGATCAAAAAT